TCGTCGTGTACGCTACATGCCAAAGTAAAAATAGAAAATTAATTTATTTTTGGGCAAAAATTTGTTTTGAAAAAATCGATTTCAAATGCTTATTTGAATATTTTAGTAATCAAGGCCAAAAATTTTCCAAAACAAAAAGTAGTTCTATCATTTTAGTTTTCGAACAATTTTAAGGTGTGGTTTTGAAATCAAATTTAAAAGTTAATGTCGAACCTTATTGAAGAACTTTACATCTAAGCTTAACCAAATTTAATAATTAAATTGTTACATTTTAATAATTAAATTGTTAAGATTTTCTTTATCTTAAAAAAAAAAAAATTCTTACGAAAATTATTTTTCCGAGCTGCAATTGTGCGCTCAATGACGAATTAAAGACCACGGGATAGTGACAGTAAACTAACCAAATTATAGTTATCAAATTATTATTGGACCAAAATTTGTGAATTCATAAAAATTATTTAGCAAACAAATTTGTTTTTCTTCCAATATTCCCAAAATTAAATGAGCACAATATATCAAACAATAAGAGAAAATAACTTAAAGAAATGAGGGATTGTCAAAATATAAAAGCTAACATGAATTTTTTGTTGCTTAAATGGTTGAATATAAATTTGGTCATAAAATTAACTATGCACATTTTTATTGTACAATAATTTACAAAAAACTTGTAAAATATTTGAATTATTAAAATTATTGTTATAAACCGTATTCTTATCCTCCACTCATAGTTTTGCTTACAATACTTCAAAATTCTTAAATTTCCATATGGAGTAGTCGGTATAAATTGTCATAATTCTTTTGGTGTTTTTATTTTGGGAGATCGTTGGGTGCTATTAAAGGAACATAAAATTAAAAAATGGATTTTTTTCTTTCTGTTTTGTATTATATTTTGTTTTATTTATTTTTTAATGTCCTTGCTCTAAATTAAAAAAAAAAGAATTTATATTATTTAATACAAGTATTTTATATAAAAAATTTAGTATGCACATACGCATACACAATTTAATATATGTTATACGTTTATATCATGAATACATATGTGGATATTATGCATGTATGTATGTATGTTAATTATTTTAAAGATATTTACTAACTTTTTTGCGTATATGTATACATATGTTATACTGTATAAAGAAAAAATAAATTTCTGTTTCGTCGTTCAATTATTCTTACTTTTTATAAAGAATTCATTAGATTTTAATAAAATATTTATATAAAAATTTTTTTAAGTATAAGAAAAGATAACAAAGAATTTCGCTGCGAATATTATATGAAAACAGACAAAATATAAGAAACTTCAATAAAATTAAATTTGTGCATCTAAACGAGTTTTGTAGACAATTTAATTTTGGTATTTTTAAAGAGAATTTCGTGTAATATAATATTTCATGACGACGACAGCGGCACTTCAATCTCTCCAAAGAAAGTCGGGGTCCAACCCAGGCATTTCATTAACTTTAACATAAATGTATCAAACTAGCTTTTGCTTTCATATCTGATTTATAAGCAGAAATGTTAAAATCGGAGAGTTTTCAAAAAAACCAACTTTGATGTCTTATAACTCAAGAAGGAAAGGCGTGAAAACGGAAAATGCCCCATAATATATTCAAGCGGAGTATTGAATATATTATGGGGCATTGAACTCCTATAATATATATAGGAGTTCTAATATTTGGTGTTCTATTATACGCAGCTAAGCAACACATAAAACATTACATAATTAAAAGTTCGATTGTGTATGTACAGGACGTCTTGTTTCTTAATACATTACTGTATATACATACTATTGCGTATAGATAATATGGGTATAGGTAAAACCTTTTTATGGAGACAATTTTCACAGCTCAACTATAATTACTTTATTTCTAACCATATTCGCTTGGTTTTTTTTGCTATATTCTCGAGTACACACAAATATCAAGTGCATTCAACATTATAAATTAATAAAATATTTTTTTTTATATTTTATCTTATCAACACCAAATAATTATATTAATTTTTATATTTTATAATTTAATATTAAATACTAATACTCAAAATTGCACTTTTCATTTCTGAAAATTATTATTGTCTATTTCTTTCTTCATATTTACTTTTTATTTATATTTTGTTTATTGGTTTAATTTTGATAAAGTGTTATCAAAAACGAGCAACTCTCAATTTAAAAAACACGAAGAAAAAAAATTTTTTTTACTTCAACTACATATATGTATGTATATGTATGTGTATATAAAAAAAGTAAATAATGAAAAGGTTTCCTTTTTCAATTTGCACGAAATCAAATCGCATTCGGCTGTTTTTTTTTTTTTTTGTTACGCAGTTTTAGTAAACAAACTGTGACTTTTGCAATTCAACCGCGATAAATAAAATTTAGTATGAATTTTCCATACTGTAAAAAAAATAAAACTTGTGGGACAACGAAAAAAGATAGAGTTGATCTATTAACTCTATGATATCTGTACGAATATTTTTTAGGATTAAAATGACTATTGCATTTTCTACAGGTTTTGGAATACGACAATGTTTGATTTGTACAACAGCAATGCACAACAAAATTTTATAAGAATACCGCCAAATTGCTAAGCTCAATTTATGCAAAATTTGAACAGTGTTAGCTTATAGAGTCCGAAATATGACCAAGTTATGTTTAAAATTATATGATAGCTTATCGCGGTAATATCTATTAATAATAATGGATAGACATCCCTCTAGCCCAACTCAATTTCTGTATGTATTTCGAACATTCGCTCGTAGAGGTAATAAATGTTTTTAAACAATTTTTATTCTAATTCTGTTTTAAAATTCTAACCCAATACTGAAGGTAAGAAAGAACCAGTAATTCTCGAACCGTTTTCTGTAAACTATGACAAACTAACTTGCCATCAGAAAATTATGTTCTACTTTAAAAGAACAAGTTAACATACTTTTTGGCATTCCTTCGTCTTGAACGAAGCATTTACAAAATTACTTGTTCCATATTAAATTTATTGAGAGTTTTTTTTTTTTAATTTTGTTTACCTATTAAATTTATTTATTTTTTTTACTCTTTAATTTTTAATTCTGTTTTTTTTTTATTATTAAAAGTATAATCTTTTAATCAATAAAATAACGGAAAACAATACATATGTATATGAACAAAATGACCCAAATATAAAAAAAAATTTTTAATCAAAATATCGCCGTTTCTTTTTTTTAACTTAGCGATGATTAATTTAATCCGCTAGTTTTTGTTTTTGCATTTACATTTATTTTAAGTTTTTGTATGTAAGTATGTTTGTACATATGTGGATATGATTGTGAAAAATTAATAAAATGCTTTACTGTTATCGATTGATTTCAACTGTCGTAAAATTTATATTGCAAATGATTGTCAAATAATAAAAATTATGGTTTAGGAGAAAATGCATTACTGAAGTTTTATCACATTTACACAAATTAGTTGCACATATTTTAATTACAATAAAATATTTTACACTTGATAGATAAGAAACAAGGCCGAAGTTTGATCGTACGACAGCTTCTTTTTTGGTATACGTTTTATTTTAATTAGTTGAAATACTATTTTAGAGAATATTTTTCCCAAAAATCGATAAAATTTGTATAACAATTATGCAGGTTTTTATTTTTTTTTCATATAACGCGTTAATTTAATAAATAACACAATTTCTATTTAACAATAGTGTTGTAGAATTTTTTTAACAAGGGAAAGCGAAGTTGTCTATCAAATTCAATTCTTTCTATAATTTTAATATTAAATCAATAAATATAAGATGGAAACGTCAACATATTAACCATATTTTAAAATATGTTAACAAGCATACATATATATGTATGTATATTAATACTAGAATTTTGCATATAAGAAAAACATACATGTATACATACATGATAGGTATAATTATACATAATATGTATGTGTATGTGTTTAAAAATTAATATTCATTATCCAGAAGCTATTTTTAGCTTTTACACTATATAATATTTACATATATGCATACAAACATATGTTTATAAAATAAATTGTTAGGTCATTCAACCTTGATGGCATTAATTTGAACTATTTTATTTTTGTTTTATTTATTGCGTGAAAATTATTATCTTTTCAGAAAGAAATTGCATATGTACACCAACAATAGCAAAATAACAAAATCACTAGAACACCTTATTATACCTTTATTTGTGAAAAAAATTCTTTATACATATAATTTTATTTGTATACGAGTATGTACATGTATGTAAAATAATAACAAACTTTAAAGTCAATACATTTAAGGTGCGTTGATTAAAGATACACGCTGGGGAAAGTTTTTTCTATTTTTTTCATTTTTTTTTTTTTTGTTTTGTTTTTTTGTTCCTTCTATTTTAATATTTCTATGTAAACATATTTAGTATTTCAAATTTTACATACCTACTAACATAACTTTGTTCACACGTATGTATATTGAGGCATGCACTTTAATAAAAATTTAATGCGTAAGGAAAAAAATAATTTTAATGAATCTATATATTTCCCTAAAATAAATTTTCTGAAAAAAAAAGTTTTTATGTGTACTGTTTTTCATTTCTTACGTTCTATATAGAAACATATAAAACATCGTAAATTAAAAATTCTATAAACTTTCTATAGGTGAAAACAGTAGGTAGTTGTCAAAAAGGATGGTGGGAAGTTTGTTTATTTTTCTTTTTTAATTTTTACTAACTATACATGCATATAGATATAATCACATAATTGTAGGTACCGTGTAATTAAAAAGTTGATTGAAACTGAATAGAATTTTTCCCTATTTTACTTTTTTTAATGTTGTATATCAGTAAGTGGTCACTACAACAACTTTCAATAATTATTATAATTTTACAACTTTTGAAAGTAAGAATGTACCAACCTGATATATCTTTATTGTTTGTTGTCGCGAAATGAAAACAAACAAAAAATTCAAAAACAAACTTATACATACATATATTAACATAAAGTATAATTTTCTAAAATATTTTTATTACAGACACAAACCTCGTATAAACCCAGTTGTTGCTAATCGTCGAACGTATACCGAAGAAGAGTTACAAAATGCTCTACAAGATATTATGAGCGGTAAATTAGGAACACGGCGAGCTGCTGTAGTTTATGGTATACCACGTTCAACACTGCGTAACAAAGTTTATAAAATTGCCTCTGAACAACGGCGTGAAACTTCAACGCCATCATCAATGCACATATTCGATGCTGACGATGATGATAATGAAAATGACGATACCGATAAAATAGGTCTATCGGATGATGAAGTCAGCGGTGATAAACTATTGGAAAGTTCCTTGTTATCTGATCAAGAGCATCCTTCACGCTATGACCATACAGCCTTACAAAAATGTAGAAAAATAAATAATAGTAGTGGTGGTGCTAGTTCAAGTGATGAACAAATTAAACCATCAACACCTTTGGATACAGTTGTAACGGCGACTACAACAGTAAAGCCTACCAGTACAGCTGCTGCAGCACAAAATAAAAATATATCATCACAGCCATCTCAAACACCGCCAATCGGAACAAATTGGTTAGATCCAAGTTTGTTATTACAAACTTTATTATTATCTGGATCGTTAACTGGTAATAGTAATGCTAGTGCTGCTTTAGCCCATTTAGCTAGTTTATTTAACCCGGCAAGTAACGATCCTACAGCGATACGAGATTTGTTAAATGTTTTAAAATTACAACAGGAAGAATTATTAAAAAAATTGTCGAATCAATCGAATGATGCTAACAATCGAGAAAGTCTAAATAATGAAAAATCTTTGATTGATCAAACGCAATTATTACAAGATGTTAAACATCAGCAACAACTGGAACAAATGCATCATCAACATCATCATCCAGCTCGTTTACCAAAGTCTGATACACCAGAAACTGGGTCATCAATCGATATAAATGAAACAAATGAAGATGGTGTCATATTAAAAATTCCGTCCTTCAAACCAGTTGTAGTACCTGCATCTTCATCATCGACGGCTTCATCGATGAAAAGTTGCGATCAAAATCAAATTTCACCGTCATCAGCATCTACACATCATATTCCTCCAATATTATCAAGAAGTCCACATCAACCAAATAGTTTACCTGGAATATCACCACCGTTATTACGACAAAATAGTGAATCACAATCACCCCCAGGTGTATCAATGCGTGAAATCATCGCAAATAGTTTAAATCGTTTCAATCAACAAAGTATTAAAGATAATAGTTTGGGTAAAGCATCACATTATAACGATTTAAACGAGCAATTCGGGAAAAGGGCGAGTATATCAGTAATCAAAAATATTGGTGGTACTGATATAACAAAGTTCGCTGCCACCCCAAATTTATTAAATAATTATCAAAATGCTGCAAATCAATGTGCAGCTGGTAAAGGTACAAGACCAAAACGTGGTAAATATCGCAATTATGATCGTGATAGCTTAACTGAAGCTGTTAAGGCTGTGCAACGTGGTGAAATGTCCGTACATCGAGCAGGTAGCTATTACGGTGTACCACATTCAACATTAGAGTATAAAGTCAAAGAAAGACATTTAATGCGACCTAGGAAGCGTGAACCAAAACCACAACCTTTGGATGGCAGTAGTAGCAGTAATACGTCATCCACTGTTAATTCAAAACATTCAAACATTCCAGGTTTGGCGGCTGTTAATAATATAGATAAATTAAAAACTTCTGTTGGACATCAGCAACAAAAAACAGCTCTAAAACCAAATCAAACATCACCATTCCCAAATACATCTCCTAATGGTATGAAAGTATCTATATTCGATCCAGGCTTAACAGCACAATTACAATATGCTGCGCCGCATTTGTTTTGGCAACATTCTGCAGCTGCAGCCGCTAGTTTTAATCCTTTACCAATGGAATTTTCGCCGACCAGTCGAACTGCGTCAACTGGGCCTGGTAATGGATCATCAGGAAATTCAACTGCCACTTCACCCGGACTACAACCAAACCCATTTTCCCCAAATACTGATAGTTTCCTTGCAACGCAAATGATTCAGCGTTTCCATGAGGAATCAAGATTAAATACTGTTACAAGTAATAGTAGTAAATCCCCTTCGTTAAGTGGCAATAATCCCACTTTAAATAGCAGTAATAGTAATAATCTTAATAATAACAATTCATCAAATGTGCCTCTTAAAACAGCTCGTGAAATCGCCCAAAGTTTGTATGACAGTGGTAATGCTAATGGTTCGTTTTTAGATGGCATTATTAGGCAAACGTTAGACCGAAAATCAAATAATGATATACCTCATGGAGCATTATTTGACCAATTAATAAAAAATACAAAACCTCCACTTCTGTCAACGTCCAACACACTAGGAGGTTCGACACCATCATCATCATCTTCATCCTCTGAAATTCATTCGCATGCATTAGTAAATGCTTTAACAAGTAATAAGAGATCAGCCAGTCCAAATAGTTATCCTGTGATTAATATAAAACGAGAACGTTCAATTTCTCCGACACTTCAATCATCGTCAACTGCTTTATTAGGAAATAGCATAATAATTGATCGTGATTTACATCATCATTCGAAACGCAATTCCATAAATGATGATAATGATTCAAGTTCTGATGTAAAAATAATAAAAGAATCATCATCACCTGCGGATAGTTTAATTAAAGCCCGCCTAGAGGGTATTATGATTAAAACTGAAACAAATGAACATCAAAATGTACATCACATAACAGATTCAACAATATCACAAAGACATCACACAAATACATCCACATCATCATTAGATCAGGATAATAGAAATTCTACTGGATCGATCAATATTAGTCATTCGGTTGCCTTAGAAGATTTAAATGGTAACAATATTGAAAGTGGTACAGGTAGTAGTAATATAAGAACTGATAATAGTGAAATAGTAAATAAAGACAGTAGAAGTATTATTCCAAGTGATGATCTTATTCTTAAAAGTAAGCTAGGTCTTATAAAATCTGAAACAGATGAAAATTTATAGAGAAAACTAACGTATAGGCATACAAATTTAGTTCTTGTTGGCGGTTAATTTAATTCTAATTATATGAAAATATTTATGATGGTTATTTTATTTTATGTTTTTATTTTAATATACATATATTTAATAGTTGAAAGTAACAAAAGAAATATTAAATGAAAACTTTTCGCAAATTAATAAAAACAAATTTTTTGATCTGACTTACATTTTGGAATAAAGAATAAATATTAAAATAATTTAGAAGTTGCAATATTATCCAATTGTTATTTATTTTTAATTAAACCCAAATTATCAATTAATATAAAATTAAAAAAATATTTATACCTACAAAACTTGTAAAATTATCACCATTTCATTTTGTATTTTTCTAAAGATAATTTATAAAACTTCATAATATGATGATAATTAAATTTAATATTGGTATTATTATATAGGTAATTGGCATTTTACTGCATATAATACGGATTACATCATTATATATACATACTTTATAATTTTCTCTTTGTAAACAAATACCATATATCGGCAAATTTTAATTTTTTGGTTTGCGCTTGTCCTCTTCATTTTATTATTAAAGTGAAACGACAAAAAAAAGTCAGATCAAAATTTTTTGAATTTTTTTAGTGAATTGTACTGAAAAAAAAATAAAAATTTAAAATTAATTGTATTTCAATTTACTTATTTAATTATTTTTTTAAACAAAATAAATATTAACTATTTTCGTACATTCATACTAATGAAGTATTTTAAAAATCCAAAAGAAATTAATGTTCAATATACAAATGCAAAAAGTAGAAGAAAACAAAAACACCATCAACTTCATTATCATAAAATCTTTGCATAAAACACGTTATAAAACCGCTATAATGTAATTATGTAGGAATATTATAACTATATAAATTACAAAAAATATTTATACACTTGGAGCAACCATAATTCATAAACAGTCAAAATTTTAGTAATTAAAATTTAAATATTATCAGTATATAAAATAAAAATCAATCAATATGTACCCACTACAAAAAAAAACAAAAAATATAACTGAATTATAAAACCGCAAACAGAAAAACAATATGTATATATATAGATGAAAACAAAATACAAAAACAAAAAAAAAAATATTAAAAGAAATAACAAATATTAATTTTTAAAGAAACAAAAATCAAACAAACAAAACATATAAAAATGTGTTTAACCAAAAAAAAAAAAAAAATTAAACAAAAATTAAATAAAAAAAAAATTATTATAAAAACATATAAAATTTTATTTAAGATTTGTAATTGAAAAATACAAAAAAATATAACAAGTATACAAACATAAGTTATACACAGCTAAAAAACATATAAAAAATATTGAGTAACAAAAACCTAAATTTAATTATATAATATATAACTTTGAATATAATTTAAACAAACACAAAAAAAATATACATATAGAAAAACAAAAAAATAATAATATTATTAGAGTAAAAATGGAATAAATAGGTTAAAATTTGAAACTAATATAAAGAAAACAAAAATTACCATAAAAAATACACAGAAAAGTTATATATTTTTATTTAGTTTTTTGACAATCGACAAATAGGCACTTGTACAAAAAATACAATAAAATAAAAATCCAAAAAAAAAAAATAAACAAATAAAAATAAATACACCAACCAAAAAAAAAAATAATATCAATAAAATAATAAAACTTTAATTTAACAAAAAACAAAACAAAACAATAAAATATCATTCAATAAATTCTTACAATATTACAATATATACACACATATGTATATAAGAAATAGTTAAAAATTTAATCAATATTTTAAAATATTACTTACTTTTTTTTTTTGGAATTTTTTGCAGTTTTTTTTTTCATAATTAGTAGGAATTTTTTTTTCTTTGTTTTGCATTTTGATTATCAAATAATTAATTTTATTTTACATGTTAAAAAAACTATTATAATTACTCGTTCTTATTTTATTTTTAACTCTCTCTTAAACAATTTCTCTCTTTTACAGAAAATTACTTAAAGTGTATAATATATTTGTATCCGTAAACTATATAATTCCCGTCCAATTCCTTCATATTATTTTCTTCCTTCATTCATTCTCAAATTTTAAAACATTACCTAATTTTGTGTTACTGAGTAAGATATTCTCCGACAGTTCCCACTCTTGTCCATATGAGTAATTCACTTTTATCCGTTTTATCATATCATTCATTGCCTTAAATTTCTAAAATTTTCTTCCTCTAACATTAAAAAAGTAATTCACTGTAATCTTTCTTGAAAATGTGAATCCATTTCAAAAATTACTCTTAAAGCTTATTCAAATTTTTCAACTTCCACAAATATAATTTTTCCTTATAATTATTAAATATTTTACAAATTCATACAAAAATATTTACACTTGAAAGTCATTTTCTCAATAACATATTTTTATTTTTTTCATTTCCATTTAAATCCTTTTATTTTTATGTGTTTTTAGTTATCAATAAAGAAAAATTTTTTATTTAATTTTATTAAGTATAAACTTAAAAAATAATCAATTTAAAATCAAACAGGTGAAATATTTAATAAAATCAATCAACAAACAAAACAATAGCAGTAAACAAACAACCATATACAATCAACCAACAATATATTATATTATTCAATCAACAAAAATAATAAAAAAAAACAATAGACAAACAGTGCAATAGCCCAAAAATAACAGGAAATAAAATAGTAATAAAAAAAAAAAAAAACAAATTTATTATTTAATTTGAAATTTTTTGTTTTACAAAAAATACAATTCTGTTATATTTAATTTCTTATAAATCTTATCAACAATATAAACGATCAACAAAAAACAACAAATCAATAACTCAATTCTATAGCAAACCAAAAAAAAAACAAAAAAAAAATTTATTAATTTGATATACCTACATAATAAAATAAAAATTACAATAGTCTCTAAACTTGCATTATAAATTATACTAGATGACAATATTTTAATAATAAAATATATTTTAAATAATATAATTAATATACGTTAATGAGAGTTTATTTTATATAAATAAATATTATTTTATTAATTTAATATAAATAAATTATTTCAATATGATACAATATAATTAAATAATTTTAAATATAAAGCAAAACTGCCTAAGTAGCATAAAATAGAAATATTACGATATTTTTGATTCCTCTTTTTGAGTTGCCAAAATAAATTATAAAATATTTTTTGAAAAATTATACTATGATTTGGAAAATTTTGGTTAATTTGAAATAAATAGCTTGAATTTAATTTTACAAGCTGGATTTTAATTAAAAAAAATTTTAAAAATGATTTTAAATTATTAATTTTGCTTTATTATCACAAACATATATAAATATTCATAAAGAATACATTTAATAACAACATTCATCCATAATAATTATAATGCAAGACTTCAAACAAACAATAAAAATATCATATATACAAACACAATAGAATGGCATTACTAAATTATTATTTAATTTTTCTTTTGAATATTTATTTTAAATTTTTATTTTTATTAATTTTTTTTTCGTTATATAAAATTACAAAGAAATTTTTTCCCTCACTTTTGAATATATTTAAACTAATTATATTGTTATTATTTTATTAAATCAAAAATTATTGGTTTATTTAAAATAATTAATCAAAGAAAATTCCCTTTATTAACAAAACAACAAAAAAAAAACATCAAAATTTTTTGTTTAAAAATTAACTTTAAATTTTATTTTTGAAATTTCTTTAGAATAAAATTTATATATTTATAAAAATTCAAAGAATATGCCTTAATAGTTTTTATCCACAGTTTATATAACCAACATTTAAAAAAAAAAAGAAAACAACAAAAGAAAATTAAAATAAAAACAAAAAAAAAATAAATAAAACACTTTTTTTATGTCAAAATTTTTGTGAAGAACATACAAAAATAAAATAAATAGCACACAATAAATATACATACATACATATATATATATACATATTAAATAATTTTAAATTGAAATAAAAAAGAACCGATAATAATAATTAATATAATTCATATATATATATTTAAAAATATGCATGTTATATAAACACATAAAACATACACACAATAACTCTAATATTCATAATATTTAAGAGCAAGAAAAACGCTCTTTTCATTAAAATAATTTCTCTTGTAGAAATTAATTTCGAATAAGTGTTATGAATATTATATGCTATATAATAATACAAAAAAACATTACAAAAATAAATTAAAATTTTTTCAAAATTTTACAAAATATTTATAATTACATAAATACATACATATAAATATCAATAAAGATTTCGGGCTCCAAATTATAAAAATATTTAGATTAAACAAAAAATAACTATAATTACAAAATTAATAAATTAATCTTTTTGGTGTTGAAAAAAAAAATTAAAAATAAATATAAATTGTAAGTACTTTTGCTTATATTTGTATACTTTAATAAACTTATATATTGTATGCATATTTCTATAAATTTTATATGTATAAAAAAATAAATTATATTATAATTTTTCTCTGGATCAAAAACATATTTTATAAAATTGCATAAAAACAAAAAAATTATGATAAAAAAATTAAAATTAATAGAAATTAAAAAAAAAAAGTGAAAATTAACAAAAAAAATATCAAACACAACTTTGGAAACAAAATTTATATAATATTATAGTCTATAGATGAAATATCAAAATTTTCTATAAAAAGAAAACCCTGTATATAAATTGAAATCACTTTAAAGAATTATCCTGGCAATGCTATTTTTAATTTTTTCCAAATTTCTTTTTTTTACAGTTACCTTTTTGACAAAATATAGACAAAAACATTTGATTTTAGAACTAATATACCAATTTGATTTCTTTAGTAATTAAAATTCTATTGCTAAATAACTCAAATTGACATTAGATCTGCTTTTTTTTTATAAATTAAAATACGGTATTTAATTTTTATATGAAAAGACTAATGAACTGTAATAAAAATTTTGAACGTTTTATAAAAGAGTTTAAAAATCTAAGACTAAAATATTGATATTTGGAAAAAACAAAAACCAAAATAAAAACAAAAAATCTGAAAAAATAAAATTCATATTATTGTAAAAAATCTATAACTGTTTGGTGTTCAAAAATTAAAAAATTCAAAAAAAAAATACATATATATATAATACGTATACCATTTTATTTATTTTAAGAAAAATTAAATGTCTGTCTAAAAAATTCAAAAAATTTGTAAAAAAAAAATTAATTTTTTTTTTCGGTATTCATTTCAATTTCGTAAGTTTGACTTCTAGCAAGAGAAAATAAAATCTATTAATATATTCTAAAATATGATTAGATAAAATAGAGTAAAAGATTACAACATAAAGAATCTACAAAAATGCATGAATGTCATTCAGCAATATAAAATATTATAGTTGAAATATTATACTGAATA